GCATTGTGGTAAACTGTGGTCAATGACATGAGACAAAGTATATGTGAACTGCTGTATAGAAAGTGAATTTGCTCTTTAAATCTTCACCCAAATCACAATTTAAAAAAATTAAAAAAAGAAAAACATGCTTAGTCTTTTCTTCATTTTCTTGAACATACTGTTTTCATCTCCTTGTCTACTAATTCTGTCATCTTTGTCATTCTGGGGTCTGTTTCTAGTATTGATTTTTCTTACTATGCATCCTGTTTTCCTTCCTCTTTGCATGTGCATGCTAGACATTGTGAATTTTACCTTGTTGAGTACTTTTTTATGCATATAATTATTCTTAAGCTTTATTTTAGTATGCAGTTATCTTGGAAACAGTTTGATCCTTTTGAGCCTTTTGAAAAGTTTTCTTAGGCAGATCCACAGCACTAGGGCTAATCTTACACCACAACTGAGGGACATCTCCCTTAGTATTGTACCCACTATCTATTATAAAGATTACCACTCTGGCTGGTGGAAATACAAACTATTCCTGTTCTCTGTAAGCTTTGGGAATTGTACATCTGCTCCTTTATATAGCTCTTTTTCTGTCCTTGGGTAGTTCCCTCATACATATGTGTTGATCACTGCTCAGCTGAAGACTTGAGGAGAGGCTCTTTTTCTATCCTCAGGTAGTTCCCTCATACACGTGTGTTGATCACTGCTCAGCTGAAGACTTGAGGAGAGGCCTTCTGCAGATCTCTGTGTAGCTCTCCCTTTTCTAGTACTCTGTCCTGTGATCTCTACCTGTTTTTCCATCTACAGATTCTTTATCCATAAGTCAAGGAGACTGCCAGGCTTCACCTACGTTTTTCTTTGCTCTGTGGTGTGGAAACACTCTTTAGTTTGTAAGTTAGGGCAACTGTAGGGCTTACCTCATTCGTTTCCCCTTTCTGAGTATTCATAGTCCTGCACTGCCCATTGTCCATGTCTGAAAATCCTTGTTTCACATACTTTGTCCAGTGTTTTAGATACTTCAGGCAGGAAGGTAAATACAATCACCATTACTCCAACTTGGCCAGAACAGCATATATATTTTTAGATTTATATATGCCGTTGTGAGTCCGTAGTTCATTTCTTTCTATTCCTAATTAAGTCCATTATTTGGAACGGAACAAGGGGATGCATGGTTTAAAATCAGGAAGGTGTGTGTCACAGTTATGTTGTTTGACCATATTTGTTCAGTCTGTATGCTGAGCAAATAATTTGAGAAAATGGACTACATGAAGAAGAACGTGTATCAGGATTGGAGGAAGACTCATTAACAACCTGAGATGTGCCGATGATGCAACCTTGCTTTCTGAAAGCAAAGAGGATCTTGAATGAAGATCAAAGACCACACAGCCTTTAGTATGGATTAGACCTTGACGTAAAACAAAAATCCTTACAACTGAATCAATAAGCATCATCATGATAAACGGAGAAAAGATTGAAGTTGTCAAGGATTTCATTTTACTTGCTCCTATGGAAAATCCATAGAATCATGGAAAAATCCATGGAAACAGCAGTCAGGAAATCGAAGGACGTATTACATTGGGTCAGTCTGTTGCAAAAGACATCTTGGAAATGTCAAAAAGCAAAGATGTCACCTTGAGGACTAAGGTGTGTCTGACCTAACCCATGGTATTTTCATTTGCCTTATTTGCATACAAAATCTCGGTAATGAATAAGGAAGACCAAAGAAGGATTGATGCCTTCAAATTTTGGCATTGGCAAACAATATCGAGTATACCATGAACTGCCAGAAGAACAAACAAATCTGTCTTGGAAAAAGTATACCAAGAATGCTCCTTAAAAGGGAAGGTGGTGAAACTTCATCTCATGTACTTTGGACATGTTATCAGGAAGGACCAGTCCCTGGAGAAGGACATCATGCTTGATAAAGTAGAGGACAGGAAAAAGAGGAAGACGTTCAACGAGTTGGATTGACATAGTGGCTGTAATAGTGGGCTTAAATAGCAAAAATTTTGAGGATGGCCCAGGACTGGGCAGTGTTTTGTTCTGTTTAGGTTTGCTGTGAGTCAAAACTGACTCAGCAGAACCTCACAACAACAACAACAACAACAATCTCTATACTTGTTGACGGACATTTGGGTTATTACTAGGCTGGGACTGTTATTAATGAAGCTGCTATAGACATGTTTTCATTTGTCTTGTGTAGCTATAACAGATTTCTTAAAATCAAACTTTTTTTTTCTTTTTTCTTTTTTTACTGTTTTTGAGGTTATGCCTCTTTAGCCTGTGTTAAGGATATTTTTCTTGGGCATTAGTTGAACATTTAAGATTCTCACTGGGACCATCAGTGACTTCATTGGGCTATAATAATAGTATGTGTTCTGAGTATGCTTCAATTTTCCAGCTTCATCAGTTTTACTTCCAGCTAATGTTATTGTATCTACTACTAATACCCTGGTTTCTAATCGCTGCTTCTTCTATGAGGTAGAAAGCTGGGGAATTGTGGTTATGTATGAGTGAGTCTCTTGATTTGAGATCCATAGTTGTTTGCTAGGATTAAGATAAGTTACTTCAACTGCTGTTTTGTAATTCTAAGACACATTTTTACTTCCATGATCATTACTATCTTAAGATTACTGAAGTCTGACTTTATGAAAATATCCTGTATTTTGAGCTTCAAAAATCTCTTACAATAATAGGAAATATAATAGTATATTGATAACTCTAATAAGTAACAGCCACTCCTCGGAAGGAAGATGGGCAATCTACTTCTGTAGTGATACTGCCTTGGAAACCCAAGGAGGGGTCGCTATGAGTCGGATCCGACTCAACAGCACATAACAACAACAACAAATAAGTAAAAGCACAGTATATATTATCCAGGCTGTAGCCTGTTAAAATATAGTATTTAAAATAAATATTAACTTTTATTTTGTTGCATTTATTATCATAGTCTTTTCTTAATTTCTGCTTTTATATTACTTATAGTGTGTCATAAATTGTCAAGTGCATTATTCCAGTATGGGACATTTTGGGAGAGTTCTACACATAAGTTCCTAAAAATGAAAAAGAAAATAAAAAGCACACACTAATCCTCATATCATAGTTATAATATCATACAAAAGATATTATACAGAGCTTTGATTGGTTACAATAAATAACATTCTTTTCTTGTTTCACCTTGATCAACATTGAAGGACATACTGTTCTGGTCACTTTGTAGAAAAACATAATAGGACTATTCAGTCTGAGGTTGTTATTCTACATGTGTCACAATATCTTGTTAATAATTATCCTAATGTGGCCAAATGGTGTGAGAAGGTGGGGTAGCTGCCACCTTACTTCCTGTAATACTAGAAAGAGAACACTGTTTTTCAGATTATATACATTTGTAAGCATGCAGACATGGTGGTAAAGAAAGCAAAGGCTACCAGTACCAGTTGCTGTGGTGGTAATGCCAATTCATAGTGACCCCATGTGCTGCACCATGTAGGGTTTTCATGGCTGTGACCTTTTGGAAGCAGATCACCAAGCCTGAGATGCCTGTGGGTGGGTTCACACCGCCAACCTACTAGAAGTAGTAGTTAAAACTATTAACCTATGGTTAGTATTTAAACACTTAATCATTTGCACCACCTAGGTTACCATATCAGTAAAAAGTTTGACTTTTGAATAAATATTATTGGTAGGAAAAGAAAGAGATGAGATGACATTTCTCAAAATTTTGTTTAGATAGAATATTTATATTAGTGAATAGTGTGCTTTTGTATAGATTTTGACTTGCAGACCAACTTACCTATCTACTGCCATCGTGTTGATTCGGACTCATAGCAACCCTATAGGGTTTCCAAGGCTGTAAATCTTTATGGAAACAGACTGCCTCATTTTCTCCCACAAAGTGGAGTGGGTTTGAACTGCTGACCTCTCTGTTAGCTTCTGAACGCCACCAGGGCCTTGCTGTTGTATCAGTTTATTCAAATCATAGAAGTTTAGAATTTGTGGAGTAGTGGAAGTTTAGTAAGAGAGAAGACTGGTTGGCCTTTATATCCTAATTATGACTGACAAGCTGTATGACTTTGGCAGAGTTACTTTCCATCTCTGAGATGTTTCCTGAACTATGAAGTCAAGGAGTGGGGTCAAATGTCCTTAAATATCCTATGATTATGAAAGGCCAGATAAAAGTTTTAGAAAATTAAGTACTGGAGACATTCAGAAGCTGTTATGTAGTATGGATGGATGAGATTGAATTACCCTGATGGTTGTGAGGCCCATATGAAATAACTTGTGTGGAAGGTTCTGAAAATTAGAAATGATTATATGAGTAGCTAACTGGTGTTTGAGCAAAGCAGCAGAAAGGTACAATAGAGGGCTGTTCTGGGATGCTGACAGTGCAGTTATTACAGTAACAGTATCTAAAGGAAAGTATCTTAGAACTTCAGCTGACTTAATAGTAATACTTGAAACTTTTAAATTGATGCTACTCTCATTTGCTTTCATGAATGGAGATAATTGTGGATCTGATCTCTTCTTTTTTGTTCTTACAGCTTTATTATCAAGTCTTAAATTTTGGAATGATTGTCTCCTCAGCACTAATGATCTGGAAAGGGTTAATGGTAATAACTGGAAGTGAAAGTCCAATTGTAGTGGTGCTCAGGTAACAATTTTTTTTTTTTTCTTTTCAAGGTGTGCAGTTGCATGGCATTAAGAATCTTATTGAGGGGGGGAAATTGAGCTGTTGACATATTCTCAGGGACTAGTACATCAGTTCCTTAAAAATTATTCTTTCCCAAAAGAGGGTGGGAAAGAAAATTGGTTATTCCTTCTACTGAATTATAAGGAAGTCTCACCTTGTTAGGCACTTCCCATTCAGAACTCCAAAGGGCTCATACTCTTCCTATACGAAGGTTATATGTGAGCTTTATTTTTGACACATGCTATATGAATCCCTTTAAGAAAGTGTTTTATTGTACTTTTTCCCTGAAATTCTTCTGTCTCTTACACTCTCCACTTTAATCTATCAGGCCTGATATTTAGTTGTTAGTTCATTAGATTTTATAGGAGCTCCATGAATTAGGAGTTTTTCTACAGCATGTTCCCAGTGTTAGTAAAGAAAGCATCGCTAATTATTTCTGTGTATCATGCTGACAAGGAGCTCTGGTAGCATAGTGCCTAAAATGCTTGACTGCTAACCAGAAGGTTGGTGGTTCAAACCCACCAGCCACTCTTTGGAAGGAAGGTTGAGCAATCTACTTCCGTAGTGATACCACCTCGGAAACCTAAGGAGAGGTTGATATGAGTCGGGTCTGACTCGATGGCACACAATAACAACAACAGCATCATGCTGACCTTTAAATATCACTTCTAAATTAGACTTCAAGGAGCTCTGGTAGCATAGTGCCTAAGGCACTTGACTGCTAAACAGAAGGCTGGCGGTTCAAACCCACCAGCCACTCCTTGGAAGGAAAGTTGGGCAATCTACTTCCGTAGTGATACAACCTTGGAAACCCAAGGAGGGGTCGCTATGAGTCGGGGCCGACTCCATGGCACACAACAACAACAAATTAGACTTAAGGAATTTTGAAGATACTAATGCCATCTCTTAACTTGACAAATATTTTTTATTCTTTATTCTCCACTCTTCCCAATCTTTGCAGTGATACGTTTAGTGATTTAAAAACTTAATTTAGTAACTCATTTGGGTAATTACCACTTGGTTATTTGAGTCACTGTAGTTGTGTTTTATTTTGGGCTTAATTTTGCAAGCCATTTGTAATCCTTTCTGGAAATAATGGAGTATAAATATAAGATAAATTGAATCATTAACGTTATCTGTAGTTTAGACAGTGGTGTATTTCTTTTGAAAAGATATGTTTGACTCCTTAATTACTATATTATGATGTACTTTCAGCTCCAGCAGACTCCTGTTTTCTTTCTTGTACCTTAGCTTTATCTTTTACTAATAATCAAACACAACTGTATTTTTATTGAGCCAGAGAAATGTATGGATTTTATTAGGTGGAAAAACATTTAATGTACTACTTTGGAAATATAGAGGCTTGGGTTTCTAGCTATTTCATCGTCTAACTACAATCTCTTAGTCAAGTCACTTATTCACGGAACCAGTTTCTTCATTTGTAAAATGAGATTAGACTAAGATAATGTCAGAGGACCTTTCAAGTTCAGATAATTATGGGAGCCTAAGTTTCAGCCAGGAGCTCTGGTAGCATAGTGCCTAAGGCACTTGACTGCTAGCTAACCCGAAGGCTGGCAGTTCAAACCACCAGCTACTCCTTGGAAGGAAGATTGGGCAATCTACTTCTGTAGTGATACTGCCTCGGAAACCCAAGGAGGGGTCACTATGAGTCGGGTCTTACTGGATGGCACATGACAACAACAACAACAACAAAGTTTCCAGCCAGCCTTAAATTCAATGGAGAGCATTAGTTTGTGAATTGTTCCAACATTAATTGATGGAGGGGGAGAAAAAAAAAGTATTGCCATTCAGTTGATTCCAACTCATAGTGACCTCCATTGGCTTTCCAAGGAAGTTAATCTTTACAGAGGCATATTGCCCCATCTTAGCAGCTGGTGGGCTTGAATAGCCAACCTTCTGATAAGCAGTCAAATGCCTTAGGCACTGCATAATTGGTATTCTGGGGGCAAGATGTAGAAATAGGGCCCAGGAGGCTTCTTGTGGAGATTCTTCAGGATTATTTCAGGTTTAGTTCCCTTCAGTGAAGGTGTTTAAGGATAAGCTGATTTCCTCTTAACTGGGGATATTGGAATGAACAGGAGATTAGACGGGAGGACTTGCTCAAAATACTTCTGTGCCTATAAGTAGTTCATGGAAAAATTAGAATACCAGTTGGGACTTAGAGGTGGTTTTATACTATGTTTTTTTATAGCTAGGTTATTTATATTCTTAACTTTTCTAATTGCTGATCTGGAATAAAGAAAAGAAATTAAGATAAAGCAGATTGTGTTAGAGAAGGAGCCAGTCAAGACTGGAACAGGAAGAAGTAGTCACTAGAAAAGGTTATTTGTGTGAATGAGTGGTTTCATGTAACTTCAAGGAATGTAATTGTTACCTGGAACCAGATATGCCTCAGAGGTCTCAGGCTAACCAGGAAGCCACTTTAGACCTGGAATCCACTTTTAGACCTGGAAGCCTTTGTGGGTAAAAATAAATACCTTCATGTTATTTATTTTTATTAATTGAAATTTTAAGGAATGCTCACAACTGGTTTTTTTTCCCCTTTATAGAGCTGAAATCATTTTTTTTTTTTTTTTAATTAAAATGTTTTACATGTAACTGCTTATAAGATTTAAGGAGCTCTTGTGGTTTAGTGGTTAAGGCATTTAGCTGCTAACCAAACAGTCCCTGGTTCAAACCCACCAGCTATTCCACAGAACAAAGAGGAGGTTCTCTGCTTCCGTAAAGTGTTACAGCCTTGGCTGTACAGTACCACATTGTCAGTGATGGCAAGCATTGATCTATGGGTAGATAGATGGGTGAACAGGCTGAATGATCAGGTATGTCTAGGCAGGGGGGAGTGTGCCCATGAACATGGATAGGGTTAGCAGACAATGTTTCTACATACATATTTATGTGTGCTGTAAGAATGTCCAGGTATATAGTAGAGCCGACCAGGGGCAAGGTTGTGGTGGCTTTTTGGCCACATCCAGTGTGTTGGATTGGGTTCTCTAGAGAAACACAAAAACCAGCAAAGTGTATATATATATTTATAGAGAGAAAAAGAGAGAGAGAGATTTATCTTAGGTAAATGGCTCACAAGCGTGTAGAAGCCGACAAGTTCAAGCTGGAAAGTTCGTCTCTGGAGGGGGATGGGGCCCGGAGCCGCCTGGCTTTCGCACGCATGGCAGAGGAGTTCAAGCCACAAAGTTCGTCTCTGGAGGGGGATGGGGCCCGGAGCCGCCTGGCTTTCGCATGCACGGCAGAGGAGTTCAAGCCACAAAGTTCGTCTCTGGAGGAGATGAGGCCCGGAGCCGCCTGGTTCCCGTAAGCACAACAGAGCCGAGAGAATCAAGCTGACACGCAGCACGCTGGTCGCTGTTCCCAACAAAGGATGAATCCGAAACCTCCAGAGCGAGCGGCGAGCCGCTCACTCAAAGAAGTATATAATCTGGAATGCCGTTCTTCCAGCCTGTCCTTGGGATAGCATTGCAGGTAGGCCACACCCCTGGGAAAACTCCCCTTGGGCAGACCGGCCGCTCAGAACTCAGTCATGTGATCCATCATGGGAACCACCACTCACAACTGGAGTCCAGCCAAGTTGACACATCTTCAACTATCACATCCAGCTATCTTGAGGGAGTGAGTAGTTGGACCTACAGGCTCAGGACTGTGGTTGCAGGGGACATCAAGCTCAATTGGCATAACGTACTATGCAAAAACATTGTTCTACATCCTACTTTGGTGAGTTGTGACTGAGGTCTTAAAACCTTGCAAGCAGCCATTTAGATGCAACGATGGGTCTCTCCTCATCCAGAGCAAAGAAAAATGAAAAAAAAAACAAAGACACATGGAAACAATTAATCCAGGGGACTGGTAGACCATGCCATCCTCAGTGTATATGACCATAAGACCAGAAGAACTAGATTGTGCCTGGCTACCACTGTCAACCACTCGGAGGGGTATCAGTGCAAGAGATCCTGGATAGAGTGGGAGAACAATGTGGAAGAAAACTCAAAATCATAAAAAAAAAAAAAGACCAGGTTTGCTGGTCTGACAGAGCCTGGTACCCATAAGACTATGGCCCCTAGTTAGTTACCCTTTGGTTCTGCAATTGAACTCATTCCTGTGACTTCCAGCCGAACAGTGGACAGGCATATGGGATGAACATTTACATCAGGTAGATACACTCTTTGGAGCAATCAATCATGAGAAAACATAAGGGCAGTGTTTGCACAGAGAGACAGCTTGGGGGAGTGGGAGTGCATGGGAGGGAAGGGCACAGGGAAGAGGTAACTATGGGGAGAAAGTAGGGAAAGAGCTGTTGTTACATTGTGGGGGATTGCAATGTCATGAGACAAAATGTGTATGAATTGCTGTATGGAAAATGAATTTGCTCTGTAAACTTCCACCCAAATCACAATAAAATTTTAAAAAAAGATTTACAGGCTTGGAAACAGTAGAGTCGCTATGAGTCTAAACCAACTCGATGGCAGTGAGTTTCATTGGATCTATCATTACTGATACATCAAGAGTAAATTTAAAAGTAGAGTTTAATCAAATAATAGAAGTGTATTTAATGTTTTAAAAGTTTCCCCCAGTTTGTTTCTTGAATGGTCCTCTTTCTACAAAACTTCCATGTTATCTTATCCACAACTCTGCTTTTAATTACTATCTGTATCTGAATTCTTAAATCTTTATCTCTCACCTAACTCTCTTTCCCGAAGTCTAGAATTATTTTCACTCTGCACTAGACATCTCCATCTGGATGTTGAGGCAGAACTTGAAACTCCTCATAACAAGACATCTTTTCCCACATGCTTATTCTTCTTCCTGCTTCTGTGATGGTCACTGCCATCTACTCACTTGCCAGTATTACAGACCTACAAGTCGCTCTTGATTCCTCTCCTGTCATGCTCAGTTGGCCACTACAGTTGTTATTTCACCCCTCTAGTTGACCC